CGGAAAATTTTGAGAGCCATGAATTGTCAACTTCCTGAATGGACACGTCACACCGAAGAAGAAAACTCCTATGTACTAAACACGAATGTCATTACGATTAATATACCATAGACTGAACATGTTATATATACCATAGACTGAACATGTCATATATACCATAGACTGAATATGTCATATATACCATGCACTGAACATGACATATATAACATGTCATCCAGGAATAAGTTTTAGAAAAAACAAAGATAATTATAGTGATTTTCTAAACGTATGTGGTACAACTATGGATCACCTAGTGCGAATCGAACTCACTACTCAATCGTAATTATTTTAGTAAGATAAGCTTGCTAACTATTATACTATTCCAGGTGAATTTGATTTTCTAAGCGTATCTTAGATGTGGTAAAAGGCTGAGATTATGGGGTTCCCAATGAAGATCGAACTCACTATTCAGTCGTAATTGATTTAGCGAGAAAACAAAGCAGTTATATTTAACATCAGAGATAGATTAATTGGTTTTCTGTGGTATATTAGTGTATGCATGCTATTCAGAGACATGACATATTTTTAGAGAGTAAGATTTATTTTTTGGAGATAACAATGACTTATATAGTCTAACCAATTACCTGCGTAGAGAAGAATTGAATTCATAGCTCTCTCAAGGCTATTTTCGCTTAAGTGAATATAACGAACCCAACTGGAATAAGAACTTAGCTCATGCATTAACAATTCCGAATCTTTATCAATTACACCACCCGTACATCGAAGCTTATACCATCTGGTATTTCCAAGCGGTCACCCATCTAGATACTGACTAGAGTCTATGTTTCTTAACCGTAGTTTAACGCCAGAAAGTAATAGCTGACATTTCTAGGACACATCGTGAGGAAAGAGGGCTTGGAGAATTTGACTCACACGTGACATACTGAAGGCAAGAGGAACAGGGTGAAACAGCGGATAACCTACATAGCGAGCTTGAGTAAATAGATGACGAAACGGGGTTTAGGAGTGATAGCATAAAGGCAAACTTTACCAAGAGCTACAATCAATAGTTGGTGAGAGCCATAGTGGCTAACGTACTGAAAGAAAAAGACACATAGAACACATTCTGTTCATTTTCATCTTTGTTTTTCTTCTCATAAGTAATTATGGAAATAAAATAATAATTGGTAGAAATTAATTACCTTAATTATTAATTAATTATCAGTTCCCATTTTTGTATTAATTGTGGCAATAAAATATTCATTATTTACAGCAATTCACATATTAAAGTCTTTTACAAATGTTGAGCCCATAAATGTCAATAAAATAATTCAAATAATCTCGTGGTCGAATAGTTTATCATACAGCTGTTGTCTAAAATTTTCTATATTTACAGAAGAGATTTCCATATTGGATATATACACAGTGTACATAGGAATAAATACTCCATAGTGACTGTGATTTCCATGCCTCAGGCTATTTTCTGACCCACCAGGGAAACCACATTCTGAACCACGTGTGCCTCTATCAATTCGTTCAGAGGTCATAGTTGCAATTAGCTTTTAAAGAAAGTACATTTTCCCGTTGGGATTTATATGAATCTATCTCTGCTAAACTTAATTTTGTACCCGAAACGTAAACAACATAATTTTTTTTAAAAGGATTTTGTATTCGACATTATTTTTTTATTACTACAAACGTTGTTTTTAGTGGGTACACATCTTTGAAGTACAATCGCTCTTTCTATTTTATTAAACACTGAAATTTATTTTTTTAAAAATATGCCCTAAAATTATAGCAACTCAAAAACGAGTCCCTACCAAAAATAATGTTTCAAGTAAGAATAAGTAACATCGGATAAAAAAATCCTTTCAAATAAATACTGTTTCCGATTCGAATAGGAAACTGACTCTAGCAGGTGTGGCATCTCGTCTACAGTCTCATTCTCACAGACGTGATGCCGCTTCCCTCTGTCTTTTCTACAAATATTTTCATGGCAACTTCTCTGACGAGCTATCTTCACTGGTGCCTCAACTGCATGAATTTAAGCGTGCTACTAGATTGGCATCTCGGTCCCAACCTTTCACTGTCAAAAGAGATGAATATAGCCGCCACTTCTTACACCAACATATTCTTCACTCGCACTTGGCGACAAAGGAACTCCCTTCCTCCTACTTGCTTCTCTGATAGCTATAATCTTCAAATATTCAAATGTAATGTCAATCGACATCTTCTGTTGCCTTGATCCTGATACCTATCTTTCTCTTTAACCTATCCCCAAACACTCCTCTTTACTCTTACTTTCACTCTCTGTAACCCCTTGCGTGCTAGTGGCACTCCCGCCTGGCTTGGGATAAAATGCTTAAAAAAATATGGATTTTCGGAAATCCCAATGAGAAAACATGATTTTCTTACTTGGCAATTCCAAATTTGTCAAGCTGGTCTCTGTGACTGAACTGGTAAATTCACACTTTGGCTCAAAATGTGGTTTCTCTAATGAAAAAAAAAGATGCAGTTTCGATTCCTGTCGAAGGTACAATTTTTTTTTCAGTTGGAATTCTTAATTTAAACGTGTTGTTATTAAATTCAATGTTTAATAAAATAAGATAAAAACAGGGATAGTAACTCAAACAAGGTTTGTCACAAAAATAGGGTTTCCAGAAATAACGAAAATAGCTGTCTATACCTGAAATGTTCTTTCGATTATATATTCCTAATTTAATTATGAAGTTGGTTTGAACTGGAAAACCGACAGTCGATACGCAATATTGATTTCTCTCTCCACGATTTATCTCTCGATGTATCTATGAAGGACTTTTCGCAGCTATCCATCTATCCATAGAAGGTTTTCAAACCTGTTTATCTAGGAAGGGCATTTGAAAGGTATATATATTTTTAGTGCCTTTTTTAAAAATCTATCTATCTATCTATCTATCTATCTATCTATCTATCTATCTATATCTCTATATATATATATGTGTGTGTGTGTGTGTGTCTGTTCATATCTATCTATCTATCTATCTATCTATCTCTGTCTATATATTTGTGTATACATTTTCCAGTTATCTATCTATCAAAATATGTCTGTTCATATCTCTCTCTCCCCATATATATATATATATATATATATATATATATATATATATATATATATATATATCTGTGTGTGTGTGTGTAACAATTAAATTTATTCTACAGACATAATGAATTGAATGTCAAGGCTACAAACATTAATAGAAATTAAAAGACGTCTTTCCAAATATCATTTTGAAATAAATCTATTTTTTATAACTGATGTACTAATTTTTATTCGAGAGAATATAGATATCTTTGTCAATAGATATCGTTAATGTACGCTTTGATCATGAATAATACTTGGTAATATAAGTAATACTTGATTGTATAATGTTCCAGTACATCTAATAAATGCCTGTATATTTATTGATTTCCTATAAAACGTAATATTGTAGTATGCACATTTGTGTGTGGTACTTCATGTACGATTTGCCAGAATCTTTTGACAGAACGTTTTATTTACAAAAGGTCATGACCTTCATTACTCAGTCATGAAACTATGTACCCTAGATTTCTATAATCTTATGTCAGCATTCGGATAAATTGTATCTTTTGTTTTTGAAATATTTGAATATTTCTGTCACCTCAGGTCTGGGGCTTTAGCGATATATCCATAGACACTTGAAAAAAAAAAAATCCAAAAATGTCTGTGCAATATTATCAGTTCTAGACTGGAATCACGATTTCAGTTACTTTCTGTAACAAACAAAGTTGGTACTCAAGTGATGGGACAGCAATACGGACGTAAATGAAAGAGAGTTTTATTGTAAAAGAGAATACACTACTGAAAGACAGAAAATAGGTTAGCAGGCTAGTAATTCCAGAAGCAAGAATATCTACCCACGCGGTCAGATAAGGTCGGTAGCTGTTTCTTGAGAAGAGACTCTGCCCTTCTACACAGCCTCTTCTGGGTTCCTCTCTACTTCGAATCTCCAACTAAGTGCCGGAGCAAGCTTATTTACCCTACTTCACCGCGAGATAGGATGTGGCACAAAGCTGTTTTTAATACGGAGCAAAACCGAGCCGGTAGGCTCGGGTAAAAATTCTCCGTATACCCCGTATACACGGGGTCGGGTAAATGTCTACTACCCCAGACGAGACTCTGCCCTTCGGCATAGCCTAGTCTATGTTCCTCTCTATCCAAAGGCAGGGAGTTTGACCAGCACAGCTGGAAACTAAGCAAGGTTATTTACCTTACCTCCCCGCAAGGCAGGATGTGGCACAAGGACGTTTTTAATGTGGGTTAAAACCGAGCCCGTAATCCCGGACAAAAATTGCCCATAGACCTCGTATACACAGGATCGGGTAGCTGTCTCCCACCCAAGACAAGACTGACCTTCGGCATAGGATCTTCTGCATTCCTCTCCGTCTGAAGGCAGAGAGTTCGACCATCTCAGCTGAAGACGAATCTCCAATTAATTGCCGAAGCGGGTTCTGGTTTTTCGGTCAAGTAAGATGTTTAAAAATTCAAACATCATGACATACCTCTCTCTATATCTCTGAGATGAGGTATTATCCTCAAGGACACATGGCCCAGTGAAATCAATCAGTGTATACAGTGACTCTAATCAACGTCTTTATCCTTTGGCACAGTGGATAAAGACGTTGGTTAGATCCATTGAGCCAAATAGTTGTGAGTTCAATACAAGACCCCAGCAGGGGTGAACCACAAACTTGAAAGGTTGTGTTAAAGGGAAATAATTGAGACATATTGGAAGAGTCATGGCGCGTGGAACTAGAACAATCTACTACGCTGGATGAAATAAAGGGTTTGGTTCGAAATTTCAATCACCTGAAGAAGGCCGCATCGTGCAACGGCTGAAACATTGTGAATATAGCAATGAAGATGAATGTAACTCTCCGAATAATGTAAATAATGCAAGTAATCATGACATATCTAATTAACATTTTTCTTATATTGTCCTCTTTGCTTAAGCCCTTATCACGTTCAAACACCGGTCCCCGTACCATCACTGAAGTTAAGCATCATCGATCCTGGTCAGTATCTAGATGGGTCACCGCTTGGGAATACCAGGTGTAGTGCGCTTAGATATGCGGGTACAGTAATCGATAATGTCTCGGATTTGTTAATAGGAGGGTTGAGTTCCAGATGCCGTTGGTTTAATTCAATTACACGCAATTATCCTTGGGAAATGTATAGATCCACCTCTGGTCCCACCAGATATGCGTTATTTGGTAAGATTTGTATCAGTAAATCATTATCTTCAAAAAAATTATTCTTACAAATATTTCTGATTCTGCAAAGGTAGAAAACTATTTAATCAAACAATGTTCTTTTTCTGGCGTTATGTTTTCTCAGTTTCTTACACTCTTGGTCACCTCTTGCATCTTTAGCGCCTTGCTGAGATATAAATGATTTTAAAAGAATCATAAAATGACGGTTCTTACTTTTGTATCGAGGAATTGACCGAGAAAATCTCGCTATGTTCAATTTACTGCAACCGGGAAGGGGAAAACAAGGAGTCTGAAGGTGGCAGGTCAATACATGCCATGTTGCAGTTCTTTCTTATCGGATTCAATGCTTTCTGCAGTGCATTTAAAACAACATAAAAAAAAAGAAGTAAAAACACAACTCGGCTTTCTTACCCAGAAAAAAATCATACTTGCCATTCCCGAATCGCATTCATACGCGCCAATTTTTCGCTGAATATTTGCACAGCAAATATGTATCCAAGTCCCAATATTAAAGAATGTCTACCCAATTCTGCTACACAGAGAAAATAATATTTCACCCAACCCAGTAGATACCTTTGAGGTTGAGATGCTGAAGCCTGTTCGGGATGCAGCTCGGAATTTTTATCTTGGTATTCGATTCTTATAATAACAGCGGACATGTTTTTTTTTTTTTGTTTTTTTTTAATTTCATATTCGGATTTTCTTTGTGAAGAAATCTTTCTTCAACTTACCCTTCCTATCATTTTAAGCTTCCTTTATAATTTCTTTGATCTGAAACGTGGTCATTATTTTTTATATTCCCGTTCTTTCAGATGTTCTTCATATTTCTCTTTTTTGCTTGTTATTAGTTAATCAGCAGCTTTTACTTTATTCACAGCGTTCCTAGCTTTCCTTTTGATGCTTGTCATATATTTTTTTTAAATATGTTTTCGTTTCTTCTCGTTAATTTGATTTTTCGTCTGCTTCATGCCTTTGCTGCTCATTCATGTAAATTGTTTTTCATTTATTTCTATTCGTAATTTTCTTTTCTCTTTCAGAGATTTCCTGTTTTTTTTTTTTTCTCTCGTCTTTTGTACCATTAAATTTAATTGTGTTTATTCCTTGTTATTTTTTTTCGCTTCTTCTTTGGTATCCTTATTTTCTGTTTCTCTCTTGGATTTCTTTCTTTTTTTTTCAGATTTTTTTTATTTTTCTTCCTTTCTGTTCTGTTCTCTTATTTTTTGTGCGCCTTTTCCATTTTTGTTCTTTAATAACTTTTGGCTTCTGATTTTTTCTTTCTTTTTGACTCGTACTTGTTATTCTTTTTCTTCTCTTTCTTTTTCGTTATTCATACGAATTTAGAATTTTTTTGTGTCTTTTCCTCGTTTTTCTTCTCTTCTTCTGCCAGTTTGTCTAGTTTTACTATTTGGTTTTGTTATTATTTTTGTGACTCTCATGTCTTCTTCACCAAAAATCATTCCCTTCCACTCATTCCCTAATTTTCCCCTTTAACGACACCCCTATTCTTCTCTTAAAATCTGTCTCTTCCTTCTTGTCTTTATTTATTTATTTATTTTTTCTTGTCATTATGGGCAAAAATAATCCTTAGTAGTAATTAAACCTTTGTGCAAATTAATTGAAACAAAAGCTTTAGTTTCCTTTCTTTCACCATACGGTCATTTTAGAGTGACAAAGTATAATCGATTTCTATTTTTCATCAGGTTAAGTCATTTGCGGTGGGGTGGAGCAATATGAAACTAATTTCGGGATGTATAATGAAATTTGTTTCTCCTTGAAAAAAAAAAGCGTTATCCGTGGTTGCATCAAATTTTTTTTTATCCCACCCAGACCCTATTGTCTCGACTGTCAATTATTTGTCCTACGGCCATTGTCTGTGTTGGACGTTACTCCAAGGTAGCGTACGAAAATAATAATGCTGCACGAACACACTGGCAAGCCTTACCAGTGTGCAAATCAAAATACTATAGATTAGAACGGAAACTCTCTTGGTTTAAATCCCCTCGAGAATCTGTGGTCAATCTGCAAGGAACGACTTCGTGGAATGAACATACGAAGTACTGCACTATGTGATGTTTCATTGGAAAATACGAAAGAAAAGTAAATAATGACAGAATGATTTGTTTTGTTTCAATTAATTTGCACAAGCATGTATATACTCTTAATTATTAAGAATTCACATATTATTATCACAAGACGTGGCGATAGAATAATAGTATTTCTGCTTTGTTTAAGTATTGAAATGTTTCACTAAGGTTAAATAGATAATCGAAATAATTAATCGGGGAGAGAAAGGTAAATAATCATGCAATCGAATTCAGATAGTGCTTAAAATGCCTCATGAATAGGACTTTATAAATATACACAGTGGGGACCACGAAATCAACATTGCATGATGACTAGCAGATTCAAGCCTCAGGCAATATTAAGATTCAGTGGAACGCAATATATATATATATATATATATATATATATATATATATATATGTGTGTGTGTGTGTGTGTGTGTGCTTGTGTACGTGTGTGTGTGCGTGTCTGTGTGTGAAAAGTGTGTGTATATATATATATATATATATATATATATATATATAAACCAGGGTCTCAAACTCACACCAATTCAACCAAATATATATATATATATATATATATATATATATATATATATATATATATATATAATGATAAATAGTTTTTAGGTATCCTGTATTTATGGGTTAATATCACCCTCACCCACAAACGCGTGCGCAAATAAACAAACACATACACCCACACACAGATACATATATATATAGATTAAATTATAAATTTAAATCCTGTGACGTTTCAGAGAACAACTAACGTGTTAACAATTTCAAATATGATAATTAGAATTACCGTTCGATAATTACAAAAGTGTATAAATAAAGAGACTTTTATTAACGACGAAACTATAATGAGATTATCGCCGATTATCGAGTTGGTCAGATAAGTGACTTGAACTTTTCTTGATATGTTGAAATATATATATATATATATATATATATATATATATATATATATATATATATGTGTGTGTGTGTGTGTGAGAGAGAGAGAGAGAGAAGGAGAGGTTAAAGTTGTTCCAACGGGAGAAGAGTGTATATTTTAAAGAAAAGAGAAAAGCCGCAATCGTTTTCGTCTATAATGTGGATATTTTCAATATATATTATACTTTATTTTCCATACTTTAGCTACACAAGTTTCGGGTCTTGCGACCTTCATCAGGCGAAGAGTGGTTATTTGCACATATTATTTAAACAAATGAATTTTTTCTTATGTTTTCCGATGTTTAATCATTGTCTTCTGTCTGAAGTAATAACCCAAATTTCCTTGGACTTATGGAGAAAATATTCTTCTGTTTAAAGGATAATAAAACAATTAGGATTAGTCAGTGATAGGATAAAATACAAGTATCAACGTAAGACAAATGCAGGGTACGATGGGCAAATTGCTGCCATTTTATATTTTTAATTTTGCGCATGCGCATTGTTTGTTTTTGATTTTGTCTGCTGCACAGTATAGTGGGGTCAGTTGGAAACCATCTGTGAGAAAAAGAGAACAATGACGAAATTCACTACGTCAGAAATTTAGAAACGGTATGCTGTACTGCTTGAAATTGGCGTCTCCAATACAAAGATTTCAGAGTGTTTGGGTGTCAATCTGAGGACAGTGAAGACGATTCGGAAAGAGCTGGATGAGTTTAATGGTGTTTGGAGTGATCATTAGTGATGGCGATGTTATGCCTCCATTCATCTTACCACAGGGCCTCAGACTCAAGACGGAAGCCTACATCAAGTGGTTTGAGGACGTAGTGCTGCCTTGGATTAAGATGGTGGCAGTTAGAAGACAAGTATCTGCACCATGCACGCAAGCAGGAAAATCTAGTCATGGCTGTTAAACAATTTCTGCAACAACATTAACCCTTATATCTGGCCATCTAATTCCCCAAACACCAACACCCTTAATTATTGGGGCTAAACTGAGGCATAGTTTAGCGAGAGACCAACAAAACTCATTGTAACATGAACGGAAGGGAAGTATTATGGCAACATAAAGGAGGAGACAATCCATGAGAAATGCAGGAGATTCCGATGTCGTCTGCAGGTCAATTAGTATTTCAATATATTTTTGTGTAATTTTGTTAAATATGTCTGTTAAATTGAGATGTCAATGTTATTTTCATTTTTGCGTAATTTAGACGACAATTTATCCATTACACTATGTATCAGTGTATAATGCGCAATACTGTACAGCCCCCGATGCAAAAAACCTTTTAAAATGTTACGAACAATTATTATACAAAAAAGCAGTCTGCATTAAATACAACATTTTTTTTTACCATAGGAGATAGAATCTTGAAATGTGTATGAAATATATATATGTATAAAAATGTATAAAATTACGCTAGATTTAAGTGTGAACGATTTTAAACTTTAATCTTCCTAAAGAGTACCGGGAGGTAGCAAGCGGAATTTTGTCTACCATATTGATATCATATAATTCTTGAAAATGTCTGATACGGTCGAAGGTATATATATATATATATATATATATATATATATATATATATATATATATATATAGATAATATTAGTATATATATATATATATATATATATATATATATATATATATGTATAATGTTAGTGGTCAAATATATATATATATATATATATATATATATATATATAAAAAATCCCAAGAGGATAGAATCCAGGTAGAACTCAATGTCCAAGACAGAGTAAGAATATAATATAAACGGTTCAAACACTAATATTCCATGGTTATAATTTATTTTCTGGACTAAAATCAAAGAGCACATTGAGCTTAA